ATTCATTAATAATGAAACATTACAAAATGCCTTCATATTCGCAATAACGTAGTTGTACTTAATATTGGGTATTTAAAGACTTCAAAGATAAGTCGCAGGATTAGATATTTGATTTTGCAAAATAATTTAATAACCAAAAAATGCTGAATAATATAAAAATAAATATCGTTGAATAAAATACATGTCAAAATATTGGTTTTACAATTTTATCTTTTTCTAGCAACTATTGCAAACGCTTATTTCGTAACTGTTGTTAATGTTTTATCCTCGGTAGGAACGTAATTTTTTTTAAACTTGAAGAAGTTATTCTAATATTTATTCGTCGGGTACAACTCGAATAATATATACAGAGTGTTAGAAAAAAAGAGTGTGTAAAATCAATCCTTTCGGTGTAATACTTTACGCGGAGAGAAAATGATAATTTGGCTCCAGAACCAGGAAATGTTGCCCATGCCTGCTCTAAATCCTCAGACACTTTTCTTTTGACACCCTGTGTATGTCAGCTTATCGTTAATTTTAACTTCCATCATACTTAGTACTTTATAATCGATACTTACTACTATGTTAGCAATTTTTAGTAGAACGTATAATTGCAATTTTTCTGTTCTTCTCCATAGCCTTCTCAAGAAGGCACTTTTTAGCTTCCCCGTTACGCGCCCAGATTCTGTAATAACAAGAGAAATATTTCTAATTTCTAAAACAACGCAACATTGGATCGCTCGTCATTTCTAACATTCTCTCGCACATTTTACCAGCAATTAATATTTATTTAACACCCGTTAGCTACCTGCGTGACTTTGAATCTTGTGCGTACTCTCATAAACATTTTCAATGATCATACTTATGTGCAAGCTAAGTCTCTTGTCATAAATTGTTCTAATTAATTCTTATAGTGGGCTTTTTCGTAAAAATTTGAAAAAATCTTCGAATAGTTAAATCGGACTTAAGATTTATACGAATAATTTAGTGTTTCAGAGTTATACTTCCGCGCCGAGTATTTCGCCAGATGATGACGTGTTTCAACACTTGTCGCTAGTATATTCGCGAAACCATGGATCTATGTATCAAGGACAGGCATGTTCACCATCTCAACTGGGATTTAAAAATGGTATCACAAATGGTGCTCAATGGTATCCGCTCACCGGAGGAATGCAAGACTTCAATTACGTGTGGAACGGTTGTATGGAAATCACGTTAGAACTTTCATGCTGCAAATATCCGCCCGCTTCTGATTTGCAATTTTATTGGGAGGAGAATCGCGTTGTAAGTTATCGAAACGAAAGAAGAAGTTTCGGAGAAACAATTATTTACATATATTAAAATATACTTTTCCGAATTTTCTTTTTACTTATTTTTGATTCGTAGTTTCCGATAATAGCATTTTTATAACTCATTGCCGTTATTTTAAATTTTCTTGCTCGAGACACTGGTTCTTAAATTTGACAAGAAATAAAGCAATTTTGGTTTAGCGTGATTAAAAATTATGATAGTGTGTTCATTTTAACAACGACAGGGTGAAAATGAAATTTTACGTGTGTCTATTGACTTTCTAGGCATTGATTAAGTTTTTGGCTGAGGTTCATAAAGGAGTTCGTGGATTCGTTGTTGATGAAAACGGGAATCCCATTGAGAGAGCATCTATTAAGGTGAAGTCCCGAGATGTTAGTTTCCTCACTACAAAATATGGCGAATTTTGGAGGATTTTATTGCCAGGAGTGTACAAATTAGAGGTAAATTCGTAGAAAATGTTTCATATTAAAGGCTTAATACCAAAATGGTGGAAAACGGTACTTTTATATACGTTAACATTCTTGCGTGCTGAAAACTGTAATATTAAAATTTTGATACAAACTTGATGAAATCGTAAAAAATAATAAATAATTTTGTATTTTTCAAATTTCGTCGCTGGAAAATACAAGATTCAAAATATTTTTCTCAGAAGCTTCATCGATATCAGTGACTATCACTTCGAGATGTTCCCCTGTGAGAACAATTTTATAATATTTTGATATTATATTTTATAGATATATGCAAATGGATATCTTCCTCGTGATGTTGAATTTAGGGTAGCAGAACACCATCCAACGTCTTTCAACGTAACACTATATAGAGTAAGCGTAAGTATAACTTGAATGAAACTATTTAGGTTAGGTTAGAGGTTAGGTGTGTCATAAGAAACAAAATATCAAAACACTTCTATTAGACTTAAATATAGGAGAAAATGTAACTGTTCCAGAGAAAAAGTGTCATGTTATTTTAACTAATTCTAAAGATATTTTTTTTTTTTTAATTTTACACGAATAATTTATTTTATTCGAACCTTTCTAAAATATTTCTTTTATCATGTTAATATTTTCAAATTAATTTGTACAAAAATTTTACAAACCAGCACAACTTAACAATATGTAAGCATAAAAAATTGACTGAAACAGAAAATATCGTAAAACACAAATAATTCGTAAAATCTGAATATTATAATGCTTTATCAATATTGTACAATACAAATAAAACTAACAACATTTGCTTATTATTATTTGTTTCGATGATAGAGGCATCCAAATGAAGATGACACTGGATTTAACTTTTATAATGGAAACAGGGACAATATTAATCGAGATCATGTGATACACTTTCGACCACATTCAGGAGCGAACACTGCTTCTGAAACAAATAGCGGAATTTTCTCATCTCTTAGTAACGGATTCAACTCGTTCGTTAGTAATTGGTTTGGATAATTATTTATAAGATAACGGACAACTGTTTTCTTAATATTACCGCTATTTCATACTAATCTCACATCGGCAAACAGAAATGATGAAACATTGCTTAATATATTTATGATTACTTGTCATTCTATTCTGTTATAAGTGATGATATGAAAATTAACGAAACAGGCACCAACGACGAAGTTCGTCACTTTTTTTGGTTTCTTTAGAAAATTTTTACAAAATTTCAAGATATTGTTAAGATTTGATATGGAATTTTGTATAATTTGACTTGTAGGTATTTTATAGCTCACAGTGAGAGAGCATTTTT